CTTTGCGTGACATCGTCAAATGTTTTAATTACATCTTCATTTTCTTGGGCTTTCGGCTCCGCCAGCAAATTTTCAAGCTTTCTTGTTTCTAATGTCCTATCTTCCCAAAGCTAGATTTTCTCAGCTTCCGTGATAAGAGATAAGCACCAATGAGCGTGGCAGCGCCTCCTCTGATTCCAAGGTTTAAAGAGCTACACAGTGCCCACACATCCTATCAGTAATTGTGATAAAGAATGAAATCATTCCTTCAACTAATAAGTGCATTTTTTTCAAATGGTAGCTAAGTAGTTAGGACATAAATATTAATTTAGTTGTTTGGACCTAACTACTTACAAAACAGAATGGGTGGGTATTTCTTTGGCCTCAGGGCAGTGAAAAAATTACTAAGACTCTCAGGGGGATTGCTGTGAACCAAGAAAGTTTGGAAACCTCTGCTTCAGTTTATTCTCCTGTCAGACAACTAACGGTTAGCCAAGCTTTTCTTTGCCTCGAAAGGAAATCTGGGTTTTTATTCCATCTTTCTGCTGAAACTGCTTTCTCACAGGTTAACACTGATCTTTCTCTCTTTTCTTCTGTGTATTTTCCATACCCAACCTATGATTTAATTGGTATAAGGAATCCTACATAGAGGCAGCTTGGTGGTTTAGTGAATAGAGCCCTGGACTTGGAGTTCAAATTCAGCCTCACTTATTAGCTGTGTGACCCTGGGCAAATCACTTAACCTATCTGCCTCAGTTTTCCCATCTGTAAAACGGGGATCATAATAGCACCTTCCTCCCAGAGTTGTTGTGAAGATAAAATAAAGTATCCGGCACAGCGCAAGCACTTAATCATTGCTTGTTCATTTTAATTGAACATAGAAACTCCTTGTACCATGTGGGCACATCAGCTTAGTCTTACAGAGTTGCCTAGGCATTAAGAAGTTTAGTGACTTGCCCAGGGTCACTTAAGCCAGTACTTGTCAGAAGCAGGGTTTGAACTCATAACTCTGAGACCAGTTTTCTATCTACTTCACACTGCTTCTCTCTCAATGATCTTTTAACTGCTAATCCAATTTTCTTCCACTCTGGCCTCTCAGTAACCGAGGAGAAGCATGTTACAATGGAAAGAGACAGTACTGCCTTCAAAGTCTTTTGAGTCTGAAACCTGCCTCTGCCACTACCAGCATTACCCTGGACAAGTTGTCGTTTACCTCTCCGGCCCTCCACTGTGCCATCTGTAAAATCAGGAGGTTGAACCAGATGACCTGAGATCCTTTCCAGCTCTGAATTTATGACCCTGTGTTATTGTTGACTGTCCCGTCTTCCCTGATTTCTTGGTCCCTCTTTAGCTTTCAGGATTTTCTTCCTGGTCCTCCTACTTCTCTGGCTGTTGCCTGACCTGTCCTCCATCCCATGCCTCCTCCTAAGAGCTGGCATGCTCCACAGTCTCTGGCCTGGCTCCTGTTTTCTTTCTATAGTCTCTCTTGTGCTGACCTCATCAGCTCCCATCATACTCAATGACCATCTCTACATAGAAGATTCCCAAATCTGAATAGCCATCCCTAACCCCAGTCCTGGATCCCTAATTGCCTGCCAGGCATTTCTGCCTGTGTAACACTAATCCATGGCTATCTCAAATTTAACATGTTCAGAATAATATTAAGTGATTTCCCCCCTTCAAACTTTCCTTTTTTTATTGAGGTGATGGCCATCCTTCCAAACACCTTGGTTTCACCACCTCTAGTCTTCCCTTTCCCTTATTCCTCCACATGCAATTAATCAGTTAGGTGCCAAGTATTACTAATTCTACTTTCATAGCATCTCTCACATTATGTTCCTTCTCTCTATTCTTTTTTGTCCAAGTGCTTATTAGTTCTTTATTGACCTATTGAAATAATCTCGTAGGTTTTTGTTTTGTTTTGTTTTTTGGCTAGGCAGTAGGGTTAAGTGACTTGCCCGGGGTCACACACCTAGTAAGTGTTATGTGTCTGAGGATGGATTTGAATTCAGGTCCTCCTGAATCCAGGGCCAGTGCTCTATCCACGAAATAATCTTGTAGTAGTGTAGTAATGGGTCTACCCAGTCATAACAATCTCTACCCTCTCTGATCCATCTTCCACCCTCCTGCTGGAAGATCTTCTCAAGGCACACATCTAAACCAAGCTCAGAAATCTTTTAACTAGACTAGGTCCCTATTGTCTCTAGTGCAAAACACAAACACTCTAGGCCTTCCACAGTCTGGCTCCAGCTTATTTGTGTCTATCTTATCTATCTTTCCTCTCCTCCCAATCTTCCTCTCCTTTCTTCTTCCTATCACTGCCTTCCTTTCCCCTCCCCCCCCCAGGGGTTCAGATTCCAATCCTAGGTTCTGCTTAGGATTTCTCTCCAATCTTTTCCCACCCCAGCTACCCAAAACCAATATTTCCCTCCCCTAGTTATCTGTATAGTGGGGGTGGGAGGGAGGTACAGGGGTGACTGACTTTGTCAACCTAAACTGGTGGGTGGTGGGTGGTGAAGACACAGGCTGTACCAATCAGATAGGATTGCCTTCTTTACCTGGCCCAAGAATGAGGACGTGGCAGTCTGGGGGTGGGTAGACTATTTCCTTAGACCAAATCAGCAGAAGGACCCATAAGCCTGGACTAATGGGAAACAAACTCTGGGCCATATTAAGTGGAAAGAGATTGGTAACCTGGGCAGAGGCAAGTTTTCTCAGTAGATAACACCATTCCTTACTCATCAGGTGATAGGACACACAGTGCTGAGGGGAGAGGCCTGGTCCTAAGAAGTGGTTATTCACTCTTGATCCCAGAGGACACAGATCCCCATAGTCCAACTCTTATTTTAAAAATGATACAGCTAAAGGGGGCAGGGAGGCTCATCTGCTTTGCCAAGGGGAGGGGGCTTCATAATCTGTACTAATGAGAGGGGTTTTGTTGTAGAGCTTGCTGGGACTCCCTTCCCTTGATCGACAGCCCCCCAACCCCCACTAGCTATTATTGTTATTATTATTACTAATGCAAGAGGCTTAGAGAATTTATAAGACTTGTCCAAGGTCACACTGGTAATAAATGGCGGACAAACTTGGTCCAGACAACAAATCCAGGATGCATTTGCTGTTTTCCATTTATATAAGATTGACAAAACACATTTCCCACCACAACCCTGTGACAAGCACGCTGCACAAAATATTTTATGCCCATTTTATAGATGAGGAAATGGGGGTCTAGAGATGAGATAAGACTGCCCAAGGTGACGTCACCTCAATTTTCCAGTAAGATTGCAAAGATCTTCACAGAGAATTTTGTGCTAAAATCTATATGCTGTTAGTATGTCTTGGAAGGGCAGAAAAGGCTAGGAAGATGGTCTGGGAAATCCCCCATCATCCTCCCCTGTACTGCGACAAGTCTGGGTCTAAAGTCCAGGCAACTCATTAATGCACAGCAGATCTCAGAGTTTAAAAACAGAAAAGGACGGCTAGATCAGCGCTCGGTGAGGGCCAGAAATGGGAAGATGCAACATGGAGCTGTGAATAGAATTCCCAAGGAACTCAGCGCACATCTTTCTGTTTTAGTTCCAGCTTTGGAACTGAGTGGGAAGACAGATAAAGTCCAACAATCCAGGGGCCATGGCCACTGGCCTCCCCTAAGGCAGCCCAGAGGAAGGAGCGGAAGTGGGCTGAGGCCTACACTTGGGGCATCGAGGTGGCCCAATGGACAGAGTGCCAGGCCTGGAGTCAGGAAGACTAGAGTTCAAATCATCAGACACTAGCTGTATAACCCTGGGCAAGTCACTTCCACCCCGTTTGCCTCAGTTTCCTCATCTGTAAAATGAGGTGGAGAAGCAAATGGCAGACCACTAGAATCCAGTATCTTTGCCAAGAAAACCCCAAATGGGGTCACAAAGAGTTGGACACTACTAAAAACAACAATAACATTCTCAAACCCTGAAGGTTCTAGGGAGCCCTTGGTCCTGGGCCCAGCAAACAGGCTAGAAGGAAGATCTGGTCTGCCTAGGGCTAGGAAGTCCCACTGCCTGCCCAGGATTTGACCCTTTTGATGCCCTGGTAGGTAACTAGTATATTTCTGCCAGAGAAGTCTAGTTCTAGTACCCATCAGACTAAATGGTCTCTGAGGTCTCCTCTAGCTCTGAAAAACCTGTAGTTGGGGGGCAACTGGGTGGTGCATTGGCTAGAATGTTGGACTTAAAGTCAGAAGGACCTGAGCTTGAATCCTGCCTCAGGTGCTTACTAGCTGGGTGACCCGGAGTAGACTTAACTTCACTGAAGTTTTCTCATCTGTAAAATGGGGATAATAGCACCTATCTCACAGATTACACATGCGATAGCGCGGGTAAAGCGATTCCCGAACCTTAAAGTGCTGTGTAAATGCTAGCTGTTGTTTTTATCGTAGCAATTTCAACCAAAAGGCCAGCTAGCTACTTATTTCTAGAGTCTGAACTCTGAATAGCGAAGGCATTTCCCACTTAGTCAGATGGTGAGGTGGATAAAGTGCTGGGCCTGGAGGAAGGAAGACCTGAGCTCAAGCTCAAATCTACCCTAAGTTATTTCCTAACTGTGTGATGCTGGGGCAAGTCACTCAACCTCTGTCAGTCTCAGTTTATTCAGCTGTAAAATGGGGATAATAATAGGACCTACTTTCCAGGGGTGTTGTCAGGATCAAACGGGATAATATTTGTAAAGTGCTCAGCACTTATGTAGTCTGTGATTAATAAATGTTTGTCCTCTTCCTCTTCCCTTACCTCATCTCCCACTAAAAAGAGCGGGACCACAGCTCAGAACTAGATCTCTGAGGCTAATCCAGGTCCCAAAGAGATTTTTACTGTATCCTCTGGGGCTGGCCACAACTGGGGCCCCGGAGATGACAGAAGAACTGGGCCAGAGGCCAAGGTAAGTTCCTCCTGGTTGGAGGGCTGCCTTTTCCCAGGAATGCTCTTTTACAAGGCTTTCCCCTCTCTCCCGGGCCACAGCTCCCGTCCAGCTCAGGCACAGTCCCTTACCTTAGTTAGGATGGCACGTCAAGGTCTGTGGCTCTGCTGCTTTGGTAGATGAAGCCTCCCAAGGAACCTTGTGTTCTTCTCGGTCTTGGGCGCAGAGGTGCTGTGCCTCGCTCTGACCCGCAGCTTCCCACCTGTCCCCCAGCCCCCCCGGCTCTGGGCCAAGCTGTGTCTTGGATGAAGGGTCCTTCTGTTTCTCTCTGGCCTTTCGCAGAAGTTGCCGTGGGGAGTCTTACAAGGCCAGTAGTCCAGCTTGCTGGGTTTTTCTGCGTGGGGTGGAAGCCTGAGATTAAAGGAGGCGGAGGAGGAGGAGAGGGAGGAGTGGGAGGAGGAAGGGGGAGGAGGTGGGGGCTGTCCCTCTGGCTCTGTGCAGAAGAAATGAGAACAGCAGCGGCCAGCGCTGACTCTGCACTTCTGAGCAAACGGGGAAGCTGCTTGGGGCAAAACTTGGCTGCTTCCTTCAGCTCCTCCCAGCTCTGCCTGGAGCCAAACTCTTCAGTGCGTAGAGGCAGAAAAGCAGAGAAGGAACACAGCTGCACGACCTGGGGTGCTTAGCTGGGAGGGGGAGGGCTCTCTCCCCGGGAAGCTTTGGGTAAGCCCAGCCTCTGCGTCCAGGACTGCTGGAATGCTTAAAAGGGCTGGGCTCATGGAACTAACCAAGCCGGGGTGCTGGCCGACAGGGCTGGGCAGCTGCCTGAGGGGGTTGGGAGAATCCAGCAGGGAAGAGGTTGTGAGGGGGCAAACGGGGGAGGTGTCTGTCTCTTGCCAATGATCTGTTGGAGATCATGAATGCCCCCTGTCTTGGAAAATGAAATTTGATGGTTGCACACGTCTTAAATTATTGAGGAGTCAATAAAGTCATTACTTATTTATTCCGGGGGGGGGGGGGGATGCTTCCAACTCCTTGCCTGGACTCAAATCAGTATTGCCAACTTCTCACTGTCTGAATCCAAAGCTGGGAAAGGAGCAGTGATTTGTGTGGAGCGCGCACGTGCGCTCATGTATATGTGTGTCTTTGTGGGCATTGTATTTAGGTGGGTGGGTCAATCAATCCACAGCCAGTTATTAAGCACTTTTAGGCTCTGGGGTTACAAAGACAAAAATGAAAAATTCCTAGCCTTTAATATCCTATAACCTATCAGTGTCTGTGTTTGTGTCTTTGTTTGTTGTGTCTGTGTGTATTATACCTATGTGCATGCCAATGAGTGTTTGTCTCGGGATGTGTTGGGTTTATGGGTCTTTCCTCTATATATCTGTAGTTGTATGCATCTGCGTGTGCTGTTGTATGTCTTGTGTCTTTTCCAGTCTTAGTTCTACGATCCTAGGGCTCCTGAAAGAACTCACTGAGAACGGGGCTGCAGAGGTAGAGAGTGTCCTTTCGTTGTACACCCCAGGGTGCAACGGGGTTTCAAGAATCTACTCCTCTCTCCAGATCAAGTCATGACTACTGTCACTAGTGGTCCCTTCAATCTATAGTTGACACTGCTCTGATCCTAGGGGGTCAGGATTCTTTTTTTTTATCTTATTTTTTATTTTTCTAAAACTCAAATACACAATAAGAAAAGAAAAAGAAACATATTTTAAACTTAAATATTGAAACTTGATGACAAAATAAAGGAAAAAGAAAACATCACGTGCACAGCAGAACACAAAAGATTTAAAATATATAGCAATAAATTTCCACTTCAAGAAAGCCTATGTGATAAATGCTACACATTGTGTTGAGAGCTGTCCATCTTTTCTTTGCTTCCTTGTAAGTTTTCTTTTGTTCTCTTCTGTGCACTTTTTACTTTGTTCTTTTTTTCTCCTTCCCCCACCTCCACCCCCACCAGGTTTCCTTAAAAATTAAAAAAAAAAAATACTTGCTGTTTGAGCATTTGCCTTTATGACCATGAATGAATAGAGAATTCTTCTGGATAGTGTCTCCTATTGATTGAGTTCCATTTCAATGTGGGAACTCCACTTTAGACCTCTTTCAAAATTGATATTAAATCATTAGTAGATACTCTCTGGGAGTAGATAGTCAACTAATTATGAATCAATCTAGCATCTACCCAGTATGACCTATGAGGGAGGTGGAGAAAGAAAGCCTTTCCCTATCCCACCCACCTACAACATAGCCCTCTGATATGAGTGGAGGGGTCACATGCCACAAAGCCTTTCTGAGTTTGGACTCTCTGGAGTTCTCAAACTGCATCAGTCACCTTCAGGACTGACCAATTTTCGGGCTTCCAATCCCAAGCTTCCCTTCAAATTTAATTACACAAATATTTTTTAAGTGGACACAAGCAACATTTAATACTTCATTTAATCTCTTATCTTTGCTTTCTGTGACAATATCAGTTGATCAAAGACCAACTACCCTCCTACATATGTGTCTTCTGTGTTTGGTGTGTGTATGCATTCGTCTTTATGCATGCGTACATTATGTGTACCTGTGTATATTGTGTGTGTGTGTGTGTGTGTGTGTGTGTTGCCTATGCTGACAATGCAGTCATCTTAATGAAGGAAAGACTGATGGGGGGGAAACTAAGAAAAGAGAAAATGTGTGAAAGTGTGGTAGTGAGAGTGGATAATTTCCTAAGAGCACTGAGCTGAAGCCAGGGAGGAAACACTCTGCCCTTAATGCCTGTTCCTCAGAATCACAGAATCTCAGAGCTGGAAGGGTTCTCCATGTCCTCTGGCAGCATTTCATGGGCTTAATATAGCAACATTTAACTAAGCAGAAGCACAAACTCTTTTATTTATTAATTTTGTAAGATCGATGGTGGCCTGGCAGAGAAGATAACGTATGACAGAATCTTGGAGTCAGAAGGAACTTGGCCATCACCAAAGTCAAATACGCCTTTGACAGAAAATCTCACCCACAAGATACTCAACAGGTGGTCATTCAGTTCCCAAAAAGGCATGCGCTCCATCCCCCTTTTCGAGTTCCTCTTTGTGTACTGTCTTCCCCAATAGAATTTAAGATCCCTGGGGGGCAGTGATGGTTTTGTTCGCTTGTATGGGTAACCCCAGCACTTAGCATAGTGACCAAAATGCAGTGAATCTACAACAAATGTTCTTTTCCTTTCTCTCTCATTCTTTCTCCATCTCTCTCATTTTCTCTCCCTGTTTCTCCATCTTCTTTCTTTTGCATTTTCTCTCACTCTCTCCCTATCTCTAATTCTCCATCTTTCTCTCCATCTTTCTCATTCTCTCTCTCCAACTCTCTTCTCTCTCTTTTTCTCTCTCCCTGTCTCTCTCCATCTTTCTCACTCTCTCTGTCTCTGTCTGTGTCTCTCTCTCTCCTTGGCCATCCCAATCCACTTTTGGACAATTCTAATTATTAGGATGCTTTTCTTTGCACTAACCTAAACTGGCTTTTTTCGGGGGGAGGGGGGAATTGCCAATTATTGTTTTGGGTTTTTTGTTTGTTTGTTTTTTACCAACCAGTGGTCTTCTGTGACCGAGCAGAATACAACTAATCCCTCTTCCAAGTGACAACCCTTCAAATGTTTAGAGAGTGATCATGTCCGCTTAATTGTTTTCTACAGGTTTCCTCAATCTTACCAATGTCCTACCTAAAAAAGAAAAAAGGATGACTGGAACCAAATGAAATACTCTAGAAATATAGTCTGAACAGGACAGACTATAGTGTGACTGGTTGCTCTGCTACCTTCTCATGCACCCTGTGGCCACATTATCTATCTTGGCTGCCATATTATAATACTGACACACATTGAGCTGGTAGCCCACTTAGATCCCAGATCTTTTTTAAACTGCTGCTTAGCCACATTTTCCCCATATTATGTTTATGAAATTGATTTTCTGAATCCAAGGGTATGACTGTAAGTTAATACATCTTATATTCCCTCTTATGTGATTCAATTCAATGGGCTAGTTTGTTGAGATTTTTGAAAATTTCATTACTCAATGTGCTAGCTATCCCTTTGAGTTTTATGTATTTTGCAAACCTGATAAGCATTACCATATTTAGTTTTTTCCAAGTCACTAATTAAAGGTGAAAAAACCACACAGGACCAAATGTAGATCCCTAGGGAACTCTATTGGAGACCTCCTTCAAACACCCCTGGAGAATACCACTTTAGATCTTTTTCAAAGCTGACATTAAAACATTAATTGATACTCTTTAGGTCTGGACAATCAACCAACTATGAATCTACCCAACATGTCTCCATCTCGAGAGAAGTGATTATTAAATAACCAATTGTTAATATTGGGGAGATCCAGGATTTTTTTCCCTTTCTCATTTGGAGATTGGGTCAAAGTTTAGTTCTCTAAAGGGCAGGGTGGATGACGAGATGAAATCTTGGAATTGTTACCCCACCCAACTAGAGAACCTTACAAAGAATTTAATATAAGGTGAATTCCAGACCATTGTGTTCCACACAAACTGGCTAGCTTGCCTGAGGCTGGTGGTGATCTGGCTTGAAATGGTCTCTCTTTGTCCATGAGTGACTTAATCAGTGAGGTCCCCCAGCCCCTCATTAGAATAGGTCTACCTCTCATTATAATACTCATTCTCTCATTACTTATTAACCAATCAGAGTCAATTGCCACCCTCAGGAATACTGTTCCAAGGACATATAAGTGTTGAGTGGGTTCCATGAGATGTCTTTGGCATTCAGTTTTTGGCATTCGAGAGTGCCACTGACCTCTTTTATTAAATTATCTGTTGGCATGGCTAATAAAATGATTAATTACCCAGAAACCAAGTCTCTCAAATTTTTTATATATGACAATCTTTTCCACAATACCACCCCAGGATGCTTTACCATGTACTTAGGTAAAATTTACATAAATTATAGTTGCAGTATTCTGGTGATCTACCAGTTTAGTAATCCTGTCAAAAAAGGAAAGAGTTAGTCTAGCTCAAGACTTTCTTTGATATTCCCACTATCACCCCAAAGAGCTAAAAACAATAAAACCCCACTTTTTCCTTGTTATCTTTTGCTCTCCCCACCAGCCCCCAATTCATTCTGAGCTTTAGCATTCCTGAACACTATTGTTACAGGACTATGCCAACTCATTTGTATTCATCCTCCATTACCTGCTCTTGCTTCTATCTTCTACACCAAATTTCCATTTTATCCTGTGTCTAGCTTGTTTGGATATGGTTACTTGCATATTGTCTTCCTGATTAGATTGTGAGCTCTTTGAGGGCAGGGACTGACTTTTACCTTTTTTTTTTTTAATATCCTCAGGGCTTGGCATAGAGCTTAGCAGATAGTAGGTGCTTAATAAATGTTTATTGACTGACCCACCGACTGATCATGCATGTCTTTTAAAAATCTACATTGGTGAGTTCCCTATGCATCCACACTGATCTTTTTGGACAGCTCCTCTTTCCTCCTCATCAGAATTGTATACCTTGATGTCTTTGGGAC